CAACCGAAAATGTTTGTTTGTGATTTTTATCTGCCTTTTGCTAGCAGTGCTCCTCCTGCTGCGTGCCATTAACAGCAGCATCCCTCCTCTGAGCTGGGCCGCAGCGTGGCATGGCTGAGAACTGAACCGGTGGATATTGCGGATCGTATTTGCTGAAGCTAAGAGTATGCCTGCCCTTCAGCCAAGGGTGTGTTTGTAGCTTGTGTAGACATTCCCTAGTGAACTTTAAGCTAGCTAGATGGGGTATAGATAGCAGTTTAGCCACCGCAGCCTGGAGCGCAGTAGAGGCAGAGCACCTGGTTGGGTTGGCCGCTTCTCAGGCAGGTTTTTCAGCCTGCACTGAGCTCTAGGTTTGCCGTAGCAAGTAGACAATTAGGCTCTCTAATTTACGGGTAGCTAAAGTGTAACCTTATGAGATGAAGCAGAGTTCTGGCTGGCGTGAGGGCTGGCTTTGGAGGTGGCTGGTTGGTCCTGCCCCCATCACTCCACTAGCACAGCTTCAGCAGAGTGTTGTCATGCTCTGAACCTGAGACTCTGTAGATTGGATTTTGCATATTTTTCTAAATTTTATCAATCCAGCTTAGCACTTAGTGTCATGTTTTGAGCATTCTGCTATTTGATAGACATTTCTGATGCCAGTGGCTGTTATCTAAACATTTCTGTATTTTAAAAAATATTTTTTACATAATAAATACTTGATAATTAATTTAATAATGTGTACTGAATGACCCCAAATTGCCATATACTTACTATGTCATGGGTGTCTTATTAAATCTAAGCTAGATTTTTGTTTGTAATATTTGAGATAATTGACCCAATTTTTCTTTTTCTATGTAATTTTCAAGAAAACAAAAGTTCTTCTGTGTGTGGATTACTTAGAGGGAATGTACAGATCTGCTCATAGAATCATCTTACAAATACTTACTTAATGACCTTCACTGGGAATTGTGTTATTTCCCTGAACATTGTGCCATGCTGGAACTTGAAGTTGTGTGGAGTTCTCAAGTGCAAAGTATCCGGTGAAATAATACTTTATTTGAAGTAAAGGCAATGAACTACTTTTACTGATCTCCAATTTTAACTTTGCAGTCTGAGACTGACCAATTTAATTGGAGTTTGTTTAGGACATATCCTCACAAACCTTCCGTGATCTGAGTAGTCCTATTGATTTATGGCTTACTCTTGTGTTAAAAGGCCTAAAATATCTTCCTTTTGGATTTTGTTACATTTCTCCAAATGAAGATGTTTTTTGTTTGAGGTGTTTCCCTTTTAGTTTTGTCTGGCAAACAGTGACACTAGTCTGGACCCATCTGTGGGTGTAAGTTATTTTCAGACAGCCAAAGGAATTTACCTTCTCACCTGAAAGAATTTCGGCTTGAACAATATGAGTTGTTCAGCATTGTCAAGAAATTCTTCTGTTCCTTGGGTGTGTATGCATGCAAGAAATGCGTAAACTAAATATGGTGCTATTTTTGAGTTCTTGTCATTTGTACTGGCCTTTTTTCTCTTTATTTGCTGTGAAGCCCAAGTACCAAACCTGCAGTGCACCATGGTAAGCAGTTCTGGTAAATAAGCTGCACTTGGTCTGCATAGTCTCTCTTAAAAATTAGAGGAAAGTACCAAGAAAGTATGATTAATCTGTTCTTAGGAATATCTACCAAGTTCTGGTTCTTTTATATGTTCTCTTCCATCACAAAACCAGAGTATGGGAATCAGTGAATCAAGGTTCAATATATTTGAGACTGTTACTTTGGAATAAAGACTCATATGCTTAAAATATTATTGAACAAATGGTACACAATGTTTTCAGATAAATAGATTTAAACTTCTTTTCATCCGTATTATTCATCCATTTGAGACATATGTGTTGATCAATATTTGAAATAGACTTAACTAAGCTAAATTTTTAAGCTCTTCTTGCAAAGAGCTGGCGCATTGCCACAATATTGATCTATTAGCTGCTCACCCAAAGGTGACATAAATGTTTGAATTCTTGGTTCATTACACAGTATTTAGCCTTGTTGATGTCAATGGAGCTGCTTATTCCGCTACAAAAGTAGAGTCATCTAAACAGCCATGTAAATGTTATTTAAGTACTTTTCTATACAGTGTTAGATTTTAAGAGAAATACAAATCCGAGCCACGCACAGAACTGAGTGCATGGTTCTGAGCAAACTGAGATAAAACAAGACACTAGAATGTGAGTATTGTTAACTTGTGTTCACACATTAAATGAAAACATAGGGCATAGGGCTGTTCACTGCTGTGGCAGGCAGCCTGCATGATAATCTCAACACGCTTCTGAGTTTTGGGCTCCAACGCAACGGTATTTACGTTGTTCTAAGAGCAGCAGTCGGCAGGAAAGATCATAAGCAAGCTGTGTGAGGAGCAGGGCTGAAATTGTGCTGGAGGGAGCACTGATTCGTATCTCTGAATCGGAGGAGAGAGACAAAGGGATGGGGACAGTGGTGCAGACGGTGAAAATGCTGTTTCCCAAAAATCCGTCATCAGAGTTGCTCTGCTGTCCTATCGACTGATTTCACTTGCTTTGTTTTTGCTCTCACTAACGACTTTGAGCTAGATTTAAAGTCCTCTGCAGTTCACAAAAGGGTTTTTTCCTTCTTTGCTAGTCTTTGTGTCTGAGCCCTAAGAGAGACACAAGGTATTTTTCGTCTTCCGCCTGCAGCACCTCACTTGCTCTCGTAAACGGGTCTGATTGAGTGCCTGCGGGTGGGTCAGTTCAGTCGTCTTGCCGAAAAGCCCACCGGAGCCAGAGGTGGGTGAGCTTTTCTGATGAACGGTTTGCTTTGAGAGAGATGCAAGTCTGGTCTTTCTAAATGTGTTTGTAATTCAGAGTTGCATTTGGTAACAGTGATGAACTAAACCAGAAACAAAATACTACTGAGGTGTTTCCCTCCAACATTTCCAAAAGAAAACAGCCTCGACCTTCTGGTGCTAGATTGCGAAGAGTCCCTTAAGTGCAGTCGGTGGGTCTCGCAAGGGCAGGGAGGCAATCACCACCCCACCGTGGGGCTGAGGATGCGACACCCCTTGGGTCTGAATTCCTCGCTGGCTCGAGTTAAAGCAGAGACCTGAGCTATGCTCTTCTTCTCAGAAACGTGCCTTCCTCGCCCGTTTGCGGAACGAACCACACCGGGTGCTTCTCACTCTCCTCGCTGAGGCTGGTTGGCTTCGTGTAAGCGGCGAAACACCCACCGGGCTGACAGGAGAAATCCCACCGCCGGCATTTACAAACCTCAGCGCTGCTCCCGGGCTTTCCCTTGCTTCTGCCAGCTTCTGAAGTGGAGAGGCGATGCTTGTGAGAGGGACAGAAGCAGTCTGGCCGGCGGCCGGAGGGGAGGCTTGCTCCAGGTTGCCTGGTCTGGCTGGTGAAGCCTTGCCCCAGCCCTGCCGGGGAAGCCAGCAGCTCACCCCGGACGGTGCTGCCGGCGGGCGGCGTAAGCACCCCCCTCACCGGGCCTTAGGGCACGAGGGCATGTGCTGCTTCTTGCCTGTTTTGTGAATCCGGGCCTGCCTTCCAAATGCTGACCCCGTAAAGGAGCGGTGTTGACGGCCAGGCACTCCCTCCGGTTGAGCACAGGACAGTAGAAAGTTATTATCATGCAGTCCTGAGAGTACAGTGGTTATTTTTTGTTTGATCTCTCATGCTGAACCCGTGCATCCGACGCTGAGGCATATTCCTTTGTTTTAGCAGGCTTTCAGCTCCTGCTCGGAGATGGATATTAGTATCAGAAGGGCAAAGGAGACATTAAATGAGGCCAAGGTGACCGTACCTAAGCATTAGATGTCGTGTTAATTTAAAATGGTGAATGAAATAGTTAAGGTATTTTCTGGGTAAACCACAGCACAGACGCAGAATGTCCCCTGTAGCACAGGGCCCGCGAAACACTGCGAATATCGCCGGCAGCCGGGGTGCAGGGAAAGTACGAGGGGGAGAAGCAGGTACACAGAGAGAGGAGCTTTTCACACCCAAAGAGGTGAAATTCCCGCTGTCCTCGTATGAACCGGTGTGGGCTGAGCAGGGGAGGAAGCCAGAAAATGAGAAATAGATTGCTTTCACAAAACAAGTGGCAAAAGACAAAGCTAAAAAATAATACAGTTATATATATTTTTTAAAATATGGTGACTCATAAAATATGATGACTCCAACTGACAACAGCTGGAAAGACTGGGTTCAAGTAATTTTCTCTCCAGTGTCCATTTGTGATGAATTCTTAAGAGTAAATTATGCAAGCTAATGATGGCTACAGAGCGCACTTGTGTTTAAGAGAGCTACTGCTTGGGCGTCAGAGGTAGGAAACCGGTGCTCTGAAATATTAGGTACGTGACTGTTTTATGTTAACGACTGTGGAGTCTGATTCTGCAAACCCTAAGCCACGTGAGAGTGGAACTACTGTCCCGAACACAGTATGTTATAGAATACAGCAATATAGATTAAACATGCATAATTATCAGAGCTTTTTTTCTATGTTATGATTTTAAATGTTAGATCTCCATTTTGGTTTTAAGCTGTAGAAATATACAGAGAAAATACACACACATCTTGGGATAGAAACAATGACTGGTTTTCTGCAATAAAAATAGATTTTTTCCTTTTATATCTGTAGCTTCATGAGCTTTCACTAAAAACTCAAAATCTTGTTTGTTGTCAAAGATAGTTTTTAACTTTCCTTTTTAAAATCTGTTCCGAAAACCCTATGCCACATAAGATAGAACACATTAAGGAAAGTCAGTCTTTCTCTTTTCCTTTCCTTTCCCTCCCTTTCTTCTTTTTTTTTTTTTTTTTTAAAGAAGTGACTTAAAATATGTGTGCTGTGTAAGAATGTGTGCCGAAGTTTCATGTTTCAGGTAATCTTCTTTAAAATAATGGGAGTCTAGATTGCATCAGTTAGTTTAAAAACTGCTATGCTATTGGTAGGGACAAAATGGGATTAGAGCCAAAATTTGACTGTGTTACTGCCAAAGTCTGTATCAGATTTAAGACACATGCTTCTGCAAGCTTCCATGAAGGTTGTGAAAAAAGTTTTAATACAGCGTTGGATTACAGCTCTCGAGCTCAAAACATTGGCCATTACACTACCATCTTAAAAGCCTGCTGTAACACGGAGCACAGAATAGAGCAGATTTCTTACATTTTCTGGACCACAGATGGATTTCGAATGCCTCTCTGTGTCTTGATGGAAGATAAACTTCATTAACTGTAATCCGTACCTGATCGCTTGTGAGCGTGTATGTGTATATATACAGATATATATCTATTTAAACCCTTATCATGATTTTCTTTCATGTGTATCTAAAATCTGCTTTAAGAAATGACATTCTCTAGATGAACTTAGAATTGTTTTAGGCAGCAAAGAGCCAGATATTTACTCTCAGATGTTGGAATCTTTTGTGAGTTTATAAGAGAAACTCTGGAAGCTTTTCTTTTCTGTACTGGTGATAGAGAAATGCATTTCGAAACAGACGCCTCTAGCTGTATGACGACGACTGCGTAGTAACCTGTGGATTTTAAACATCAGAATGTACAAACCGTGGGCAGCTGTGAATATTTTCATAGTTTCTTTTCTACATCTGCTGCAAGGATCTGACTATGAGAATGGATCTGTGAAGGTAGGTGATCTTTATTTACTGTCATTCTTAATAATCCAAATTGCCAAGAATTACATACATTTAATGTGCAAGGTGGTGGTCTTTTGACTGTTTTGGTGCTCTTTTTTTTTGTGTGTGTTAATGGTTTAGTTGCACAGATGTTTAGTATTCATAGAGGAAGGACAATCTATAAAGAAGTTAAATCCATATTTGCTGTTTATTATTTTATGCCTTTATACTAGTTATTATTAAGTACTTGTATACTTTGTCCTTAAGTTAAACTTTTAGTGTCAGTCATGCAAAATAAAAGCAAAATCTAAACAAAAATGCAAGTCAGAGCATTTAGAATACTTGTTAAATACACTTTTTTATTTCAGGTATTTATAATTGCAGGAATTAGTATTGAAAATTTTCCTCTAAAAGCACGTGTTCATCAGTTGTTCACTTGTCTGCCAGAAATCAGAGAAACGTTTTTCTTTTGTTTTATTAGGAGATGTTACCCAGAACTTTAAAATAAGCAACAACAAGTAATAGTAGAGCACGTTGCCTGGGAATTAACCTTTCTTCTGAATGTAATACATGCACCAAAATTTAAGCTAAAGCCTCACCTTAAGAGTAGGATTTTTCAGATCTGACTTTCTGAGACAATGTAAGAACATCCAGGACAATTACTTAGAAAAATCTGAATAAAATCTGGAACAAGTTTCTACATGTGCAGTGGGTCCAAAAATGATCAATTTGGTGTGTGGTCCAGATAAAATTATTTGTTTTTCACTAACACGGCAAAACAAGCTAATACTTTTGTTTTCACTTCAGAAAACCTCCCACTTGCAAGAGATGACCACACACTAGTCTGTGAACTGCACTGCAGGCTGACCTGTGTTTTTGAAAAGAAAAGCTAAGTTATGTGCTTACTTGCAGGCTGCTGTTGCCAGCACGAGAAGCTAGCAGCGGTGAGCAACGTGTGCCTCAGGGTAACTAAGGACTAGCCCCTTTGCCTGCTCGCCTTTCACAAGCTGTTAATTTACAACCTCAGCAATCAGTTCTTTGAAGGCATTAGGACCAGAGGAATCAGTCTTGTATTACCTTTATGCACTGCATGACAAATCGCTGGTTTCTTACGGGTAGGAAGCACTTTATTTAAACCAGAAAGCGCTTTCTAATATAGAATACCACCCATTGTATAATTGGCAGTGATGATAATTCTGTCCTCATGTGGGACATAATTCAGCATAACAGTCAACCACTAGTTAGTCCTGTAATTAAATTTTGAAACCATATCCACTTTGCCTAGAATAAATGCAAGAGCTCTTCTTCCTAATTTAAACTGGTTTATAGTTTATTCACTCCGATAGGATTGTCCATCCAACATATGTACATCTGTAATTGCTTTCACTGAAATTCGGCTACTACTCTCAAGCAGCCAGCTTAGCCACAGGGTACTGTATATAATAACAAATCACTGTTAGTTTCCAAGACTATCCTAAAGGTATCGTGTAGATCAGACTAAAAAGGGTTGTGTTTCACATGCGTTGGCTGCTGATTGCTGCAAGGAAAAGTCTGGTTTTCCGCTTGTTCTGGCTTTTTCTGTGTAGACAGAGATTTTTGGCTAAGATGTTGATTATTTTTCTTTTAATGTTTTACATGTTGTTTTAGCGTGTATGACCTGTGGGCTTTTGTGCGTGTACGACCTGTGGACTTTTGTGCGTGTACATATGTGGATGTACCCCGCAAAAAGTCCTTCTTGTTACAGTGTTTAATGGTACAGGGTGTTTTGAACACAGAAATTATGTACTGCATTCACCTACCATACCTTATTCTTTTAAAGTTCTTTAAGATCAATGGCAGTATTGCCTGGATAAAAACCACGAGGTTAGGATGCAGGTAATATGCAATTAATGAGACCCAGGAAGGATTAACCACCAGCAACCTGCTCTCACCCCATTTATATGAGTTTAGGTAGCTGAGCTCTGCCCAGGACACCTGAAGTTTTAAACCTGTTGATGGTTTAAGTTATCAGCTGGTGCGTGTCATATCATGCCACAGAGTTTCAGGGGGCTAAGGATTTAAGTACTCTCTTATCCCCTTTCTGCAAATACCCTAATTAATGCCGTGAACGTTAGGAAGCTTATGTGCAAGCTGCCGTGATCCAGCAAGTATCTCCATTGTGCTTGGCTTTTCCCAACCCTTCAGAAAGGCCATCCTCTTCCGGATGGTAGGTACAGGTAGAGGAATCCCTTTTCCCGCCATGTGCACACCAAGGCTGGCTGTCCCCTGCCCGTCAGGCCCAGCTCCTTCTTCCTCTCTCCGTTCCTGACCTGTTCCAGTCCCAGCGTTTGACCCGTGGTCCCGCACCTCCAGGACTCAGGGTCCCAGCTTCCCTGCTGGGCTCCCATTCGTGCTCTCCGTGTGCCACCCTCCTTCTCACTTGCTTCCTCCTGGGTGGGGATGTCCTGCTTCTCTCGCAGACCCTCAGGAAGTCTGTCCCTCAGACACAGCCCTACTGGACTCTTTTGCTTTCCAGTCATGTCTGACCATCATCCCCCCTTTCCTCCTCCATCGCTAGCTTCTCGCTTGGTCTCTGTGGCCGTGACTTCCTGGCTTTCCTTTTCCTGACCCCAGTTTCTAGTTCTGGTCTCCCCAGATGCTCTCAGCCTCCTCGGCCAGGTCTCGCCCTCTTCCACCAGTGTCCATCTCCTTCCCCTTCCACAGGCTGATCTGGCAGCTTCCGTTCCCTGGTTGCCTAACCCCTGTGGCCCTGAGGGAGAGAAAGGGCAGGTCCTCTGCTCTCGACCCCATGGGTTGGACCTGTGGTGGCCTGCACCCATTTCCTGCTCCGTTCCTGAAGGGAGTGGGGTCAGCACAGGCCCCATCTGTTGAGCATCTAGCTGCTAAACCCTGGCAGATCTCTGCTGTTGCTCTCTCAAAGGTTTTTGCGTTTGGGTGGATTTTTTGCGGAGATAGCAGTAGGCACATCTGGGCCAACAAAGTTTCCTCAGGTGTTAAAACTTCACATCTGTGATCCACAGGGGGGAAACGCCAGACGTTTGGAAAGATGAGATTGCCAGAAAATGTTTTTGCACGGATAAAGACGAAGCTTCATCCTCAACCGCGGTCAAACCATTTTGACGGAGAAAGCAAAAAAATTATTAAAATCGTTTTGAGGCAGACATCTGGCGTGGAAAGTTTCAGCCTGAATATCTGACGTCTGGCAATGTTATAAACAACTGGAAAACAGTCTTATGATGGGAAGCGGTGGGCAGCCCCAGACTGGGACCGCGCAGCCGCGCAGGTGTCAGGCAGGGCTCCTCAGCCGAGCTCGCGTCAAGGCTGGCAGCAAGCCCTTTGCCTCGCGCACCAGCTGCTTGGTTCAGGATGCCAGCCTGACGTACGAATTCCTTGCTGAGCAATTAGATTTCCACATGGGTCTTCTGAAGACTGAGCGTTAATTTTTTTTAGTGTTTTTTTTTTCCTCAGGAAATGCTTAAAACATTCCTTATTGAAGTTTTGTCCTGACGGTCTTACGTTTTGGAACCTCTCAGCTAGGGAACCACAAACTTTGCTGTCTCTTTTCCTGCCTCTCCCCCACACATTTTTCCTCTCCTAGAGCGATGACAGACATGACATAGACTACTTTTTCCAGAGTTTTAAAGTTAGATGTGAAGAGCTATGTCCTATATTTATCAGAGCTGAGGCGAATTTTTTGCCAATAAAAGCCAACGATCCGGCAGAGCTGCTTCTGCCTTCCAACACTAAAACTGCCTCTCTAATGAGGCTGCAAGGTCTTGATCTCTGAGAATTTGAGTCTCATTGCTCCCTGCCCTATTCTGCCCCTTATGTTATTAATAAAATGTTAGGGGGAAGGCAAGAGAAAGGGACAACTGGTAATGCCCAAGTTATAGAAGACTCACAGCCTTTTCTTATTGCAGAGGTCTTCTCCCCAGGGTGAACCATCCTTTGGTTCATTAGAGAGAAGCCCTCAGCTGATAGGCCTGAGGAGTATCATTGAACCAGAAATCTGCTTTCCGATCAGAAGACCAAGGGTGTTAGATACGCTCAGCCCAGGAGGTGAACATGGCTGCTCTCTGTTACACACACTCCTTTTCCACAGCTAAACCTTTTTTACTTCTGCACTAAACATCAATACAGCCTTGAGTGGTCACTTTTGCGCTAACAGATCTTCTTAAGTTCAATAAACTTGTATTGCCACTGTGAGCTGGACAGAGGTGGAAGCCACTTTCCAACCGCAGCTGGTGCATACTCCTTGTCCACTGGTGAGAGTGAAACAGCGCTTCCCCGTGATCCTCAGGCCCTGGAACACCTAAGTGGAGAATGCCTTGCCCTTGAGAAGGCAAGGAAGTACTGGAGAGCCATCACACCATGAGTGGAAGGAATCGGGAAGCTCTTTGCACGTCTTCCTTCCTAAAGCCAGCTGCGGTCTGTCTGTCTGTCTGTAAAACCAAAACAGAGCTCTGCAAAGAAACCTGAGCAGCAGAGCTGGATGTAAGCTTTGTCTCTGTAATTGCCACTGACATCGTTTTTTTTCAGATAGATCTACACAGCCCTCTAATAACCGCTTGCAAATGTTGCTCCGTTTCTAGAAGAGAGATTCTAACAAACCTTCTCTCTCATGGGTTGTCTTCCTCAAAGGCAGCTCCTGAAAGTACAGCAAACTGCTCAACAGCTAGAAAAAGCAACTCTAAAGGTTGTTGGAAACAATTTCTCTGTTTAAACTAGACTTTTCACCTCGCATCCAGCTTCCTTTCAAAGTTAACAAACTCTTTTAAATACAGATTATGAAACTGTGGTTTTCAGAAGTATTTGATTATCCCAGCTTTGTCATTGCTGCTTCTTATTCTCTGTGATTACCATGTCTGATAGGCACGATGAGCCAAAAACATGTGAAAATGTACTTGCTGCATTCCTGGAGAAATGATTGTTTGTGCTTTTCCTTCAGGAGTGGGAAGCTATGAGGGAGGTTGTGAGGAAAGCCAATTTGTTCTGACTTATCTGCTACTGCC